ATCATGGATGCTTTCCAGGGTTATAACTTTACCATCGATTTAGAAATTGACCAACAACTGCTGACTGAAGGAACCAAACTTGTTAAGTTCACACAAACCCTGCATGAACTTACTCTGACGCCCATGAATAGATACCCAAGACGCTACATAGACACAGATTATACCACCTTAATCTGCACATTGGTCGCCCTGGGGCTGGGATGGCTCATCACGGCCGTGATAGCTTATTCCTCCTACAGGCGTGTTAATAAACTCCAGGATAAGATGCACCTGCTCACCTACAGTGTGCCTCGTGACCGCGTTCGGAGAGAGTCCAAGCGTGAGTGTACCACATCGGTCTAAAGGGGGTGAGCAACATTTTCTTTGTTATTCTGTAACCTTAAGAGTAGTTTCACTTTAGTCTACCTCACACTTTTATCTGAGTGTTGCATTATGTCACATTCTTTATAAGCTACACACAGAATGTATTACCTAAGAATGTATTTTATGATACCTCAGGGTTGCTATGAATTTTCTTGGATGTTATGATATGTTTTTTTGGGGGTTTTCTATATTTTTGTTTCTTACTTGGTCACATTTTAGCTAGTGGTTATGTGCCGGCCCAGCTCAATCTGTCAGTGAATCTGTCAGCCGCCCAGCACAATGTAGTACCTCTTAGTTTTATGGTCCTTGTTTTAGCCCAAAGACTGTACTGTATGAACTGAACTGTATGGCCGGCAGTGATATGCCCCTTTTTATCCCTCACGGATGCCCCTGCTAAGCCCATGGACTGTGGACTGCCTGATCCCTGTCCCTTGTCCCCATGGACTGTGGACTGCCTGATCCCTGTTCCCTTGTCCCCATGGACTGCCTGATCCCTGTCCCCATGGACTGTGGACTGCCTGATCCTTGTCCCCTGTTGTCCCCTCGTGGAGTCAACCGCCCGTCGGCCTCCCTCCTTCCACACTACTACCTCTCGCATGGACGACGACATCATTGCGTACCACCTGCGTGGGTGGCTTCTCCTCGTTATGTGCGTGGGGACTATCCCATTTCCTATCCTCTTTTGTTTTGTGCCTGACCAGGATCCAAGACAAAGACCAAAGGTGTCCAAGGAGACCAACGTCATGAGGGACGAACCCATCTGTGCTTCCGACAATAAAGTCGACCGACGATCAAGTCGACCAACGTTCATGAGGGACAAACCCATCTGTGCTTCCGACAATCAAGTCGACCGACGATCAAGTCGACCAACGTTCATGAGGGACAAACCCATCTGTGCTTCCGACAATCAAGTCGACCGACGATCAAGTCGACCAATGTTCATGAGGGAAGAACCCATCTGTGCTTCCGACGATCGAGCTCTGGCGCGATCCCCGAAACCAAAAGGGGGAATGTTGAGGGTCTGCCCTCATGAGAAAATTACGCAGTAATTTCTCCAAAAGACTGTGCCAAAATTGCGCTCTGAAGAGCATATTTAAACATCAGCGCCAGCTACAACTTCATTTCCCAGGATTCCCTGCTCCCGGAAGCGGCGCCGAATATCCGGAAACAAGTTCTGCGCATGTGCGGGAGCCACAGTTTCTCTCCACCCGCTGAAAAGCCTTAAAACGCAGCAAAAAGCGAAACTTAAGGTCTTTTGTTCCAGCTTCAGCTGGTGGTTGAAGACACTCGTTGCTACGGCTCCGGACACACGACAAGAGGCCAAGCCGTGGAAAAGCAGCGGAAAACCATCAAACCTACTCAGCGCGATCGCCAAGGGAAGAGGTTTTTTTCCCTTGTTTTTTTTTATCTTTCTCCCTCTCCCGTTCTCCTATAGTTCAGAATAAGCGATCAAAACGCGCGATTGCTTTAAAGTAACTTCGGTTTTCCTCTATTTCCCGTACCAAAATACGCCATCGGACCATCTTGAAGTAAGATCTTTTCTTTCATTGTAATACCTAAGCTGTCAGCTGTGGCCAGGCTGACCGACTCTGTTAGATATTTTAATTTTCCTTTGATTTGCTTGTTTCTTGATCTTTGTGAAGTGGTTTTGAAGTGTTTTGAGTGAGTTACTGTGAAATGAAAGTTGCCACGTCACTGTTTCAGAGTTTAGAAAGTTAAGTCACTGACTGAAAGTTTGAGAAACTTTACACACACACTGGCTTTCACCCACACCCCTCCCACACACTGGCTCTCAGTGTGTGTGTGTGAGAGTGGCACATACACACACACACACACACACACACACACACACACACACACACACACACACACACACACACACACACACACACACACACACACACACACACAGACACACACACACACTGTCAGCCAGACAAAGGGTCAGACATTTTGTGTTCAAGTCTCCATTTTGGACATCATCTCAGCACACACACACACACACACACACACACACACACACACACACACACACACACACACACACACACACACACACACACACACACACACACACACACACACTTACTGGGTCAGATTGTTTACAGGATCATTTCATTGTTTCATTGATGTTGATAAAATAGGTTGGTTGATATTGATTGGCTGACGCTTCAGAAGGAGCTGAAGTGATTATTAGTTAATAAATGTTATTCAATTAAGTTTTGTCTTCAATTGGATTTATTTGCGATATAAAATTCAACTGCAGCTCGTTAAGATTCACGGAACGTTCAGACAGAATTGATAAGAGGTTTGGATTCATTTCCCCTGCTAGAAGGGGTGGTGCCCCGTGGATATCCCCGGATATCCTAATCAATTAATAAATCGGTAAATATTTCCATATTTACGAATTTTATTGAAAAATCCAAAAAGTAAGTAAAAGCTTACAAATTATTAGTTGACCTATAACACCCAACACTTTTAAATATTTGTATTCCTTAAAATGTGTATACATTCAGAATTTCTTTTTATTTATTAATGTTTTGAATCTTTCAAGTATTTGTATTTCATATTTTCTTGTTTATTCTTATTTTTTACTCTCCTTTGTTGCTCCTGTAATGAATGTTATTGTTGCTGGGACACCAAGCTTTCCCCACTGAGGGACAATAAAGAGATTTTCTATTTATTTCCATTCTATTCTATCTGTCATGTTTCCAGCTCCTGTTTTAAAGTAGGTGAAATCTTTTTTCACAGGCGAACAACAAAAATAAATAATAGTAATTCTTTTAAATGAAAATGTAATCTCACCTATTACCTTTCGTGCTTTGGAGCAGAAAAAGTGCATCAAATCAAAATAATGCCAGCTCAGTTTGCACCAGTCTCTTTCATTGTGATGCTCACTTGTTCCAGCCAGAAACACCTGCATCTCTGGGGTTGGCACTGAGCTGAGGAAGGAGTTCATCAGTGAGACTCCTGTGCTGTCTCGTTCATCTTCATCACAGACAACAGTTGCTCACATAAGTTTGTACTGCTGAACATGGAGAGCATCTGAGCAGCTGGACCATGCAGTTGTGTCAGTGTGGATAGATAAACACTGCGGCAGCCATAGAGTCATACTGACTTGAGTGTCATTCAATCATCTCGGTCTGGAAGTTGGTCGGTGCGCTTTCTGTCAGCAGCAGATTACTGAGCGGTTAAAATCCATTTCTGGGCTTCAAAGTCGACGCTGAGGAAGAGGAGTGTTTTCAGTTTTCCGATGCGGAGGACGGGACTGCTGCAGACGCTGATGCCAGATGTGGCCCGCGGGCCTTGTATCTGATACATGTGACATAACTCATTAAAACCGTTATCCATATTTACTGCTCATGTCATATTTTTTTATGGTAGAAAAATAAAATTCATCTCGTAACACCACAGTAGATCGTACCGGTGTTGTAAATTTCAAAATAACTCTGATGGAACATGGGAGTTCACTTTCACCGCCTCACTTCTGAGGAGGATCATGCTCCTTTTCTTCTCTTTTATGATGGAGAGTTTCCCGTTTATCCTCATCCTCGGGAATTTAAAAGCCGGGGTGTCTTTCTGTCTTCTCTCTTCTATTCTGCTGAATAATCTACATCTTTATTTAATGATTTACAAGAGCTACATAAACTGTTTGGCTCCAAAGGCCAATGTGGCATTTCATGATTCGCATTTTTCACCCATTTTATTGCATGGTCTAATATACAGGTATACATCAACCCACTCCACTTGAAGGAAAACAATGGAAAAACTCCTGAGTTGCGAGGTTTAATCACAATCCTAATAAATGAAATTTTACTTTCCATCTTTCTTCTTTTTTCCCATCTTAGTAGAAATAGATTTGTTTGAAATCTTTCAAAAATAAGCTCTAAATTATAGTGGCAAAAAAACTGAGCATGTCATGTGCTAATCAACTTTTAACTCGAGTTTCCATTGATGATTTTAAGCTTTTAACTGACATAATTTTGTGTTGTTAACAAGAAAAATCATATGTATTTGTTAGGCAAACCACTCCAGTTAGGTTTTGTTCATTTGCACATAAACAGATAATTAAATAATAATAATATACAGTTGAAAGAAAAAACAACTGTGCAGGAGAGGTTTAGAAGACCATGCGGTCTTACAGAGATGCCTCCGCTAGACAAAAACAATTTTAGCAGCAGGAACAGAGAAGTCACATACAGAGCTTTAAAAAATGATATACTATTAGAAAATAACAGTTTTTCATTATTTTCAGAATGAATTACAGTTGTTGACTGAAGAGCTGGTGGTATGCTGCAAAAAGAAGCCAATCTATATTTAAGTGTATTTAATGTTCTGCTTAATGATGAAAAGTTGACCACAATATCTTGTTGAATATGTATGAATCTCTGAAGAAAATGTAATAAATCACTTGTTAATATACACACTTAAACATAAAAAGAAATATACCATTAACATCTATTGGAAATCTTAAGATTTTGTCTTTTATAATAAGAAATTAGAAAATTTTCATTATGGCAAAAACTGAACTTCTAGAATCTTCTAAAGACATAAATGACATGAATGCAGCCCCAAATACCATAACAATGTCCTATGTATGAATATATTATAATACAATACAATACAATATAATATAATGTAACACAATATAATATAATATCTGTTCTGCAGACAAAGTAAGGATTAATTTGTCATCTGTAACTTCTAATTTGGCACCTGGGTGCATTTCATGCCTTCACTGGCTCGTTTTATGGTTATTTTACTTACTTACTTTATGTTTCTTGTATTAAAAATAATTAAGTTAATTTTTCCCTTAAATTTATTCATGTAAAAAGAGCCAAACATTTTTTAAATTGAATAATTTATTTGTTTTAATTTTTTGAGAATAATTACATTTTTCACAATATTGACTCAAGTATGAGGTTCTGGTCACACTCAAACACCATAAACTCAGTCTATGGTTTTGTTTCATCTGAAATGTTCATCTTTTGCTCCCCTGTAACAACCCAAAGACGTGTCTCCTGATATCTGGCAGATTAAGCGCGTACACGAGAGGATTTAAAACAGGAGGAATAACAACAAACTCCAGCGATAAAATCACAGCGGCTAAGGGATTTTTTTCTTCCAGCTGGAAACGACTCAAAGCGATGTCACAGAATCCCGTGACACAATGAACGATGAAGGAAACGAGATGTGGCAGGCACGTCTGCAGAACTTTACCTTTGAACTCTGCTGTTTGTTTCCAGCAAACAAGAAAAATCCGTAGGTAGGAGTACACGACATAGGAAAGTGGAAAGAAAATCGTAGTTATGGTCACAATCATGCCTAAAATATTGATAACATCAATGCTAACACATGATAATTTAATCACATTCCAGTTGGCACAAAAGATTTTCTGTATCTCGTTGCCACATAAAGAAAGCTGAGCAGATGCAGAAATGACTGATGCAACGAGTAAAGCTGGAAAAATCCAGGCCAACACCGACAAAACCACCACTGTTTTAGGAGTGATTTTTCTGTAATAGTGTAGAGGATGACAAACCGCCACGTATCGATCATAAGCCATGACGCTGAGAATGGTTAAATCATTACAACTATACGTGTAAATGACATAAATCTGAATAAAACAAGCAGGATATGGAATCAAATGAACATCAGCCAGCAGGTCCATGAGGAATCTGGGGAAGAAACCAGTAGAGCCATACAGGGAGTTGAGAGACAGCAGAGCGATGAACATGTACATGGGCTGGTGCAGCGCTCTGTGCTGTGTTATCACCAGGATCAGGAGCAGGTTGGCAGAGACGATAAAGCTGTACAGCAGCACACAAAACGTAAAGGCCACCAAGCGATAGTGTCTGATGTTCACAAACATGGTGAGGTTAAAATAAAAAGGAGGAGTTCTGTTTTCCATCCCACCTACCAACAACACGAGATTATTCTTTTCTGCTGCAACACAAATAAAAATCATTTGTCTTTTTAATAAGAATAAGCAGTGAAAATGAAATTCAAATCCAGAGGAGGACAACATCAGATGAACCTAATCATACCTCAGTGTGGCTAATGATCAGATCTGTAGACACGCCACACCTGGAGGTAAGAGAGAGAAAGTGAGAGTCTTTAATGGAGCTTTGCTTCACGTCATCACTCTTATTTCTACTCATGAGGATTCTGACACAAACAGAAACTTTCCAGAAGTTTGAAAAATACTTTAATAATTCACATGTGACGTCTGTTTTTTTTTTTTTACAAAAAACACAGCAGAAGGTAGGAGTTTTCTACTGAACTAATCCGAGGTCATATTCATTAATCAATTAATTTAGTATTCCAACTCTGGTGCCTTTGTTTCAACCAGGCAAGCCTGATGTTGATTCATACCCAGAGAATCTTGGTGAATTTTGGTTAACAGAGATGTTTGATCTGATGTTGGGCTGGGTGTAACCTTGCCTCTCAACCAGCGGTGGAACTGGAGATAATTACCAGGGGTCTCATTTATCAAACATGGCGTAGAATCCTTACTAAAACCGTACTTAAGCTCAGCACAAAAATAAGTACTTACGCCAAGAAGGTTTGTGATCTATCAAACATGGAGTACGCACAGCTGCACGCAATCTCTGCTTCATAAATCAGAGACTAACAAGAATGTTTCTCAGCTGCATTTTACTCACATCCCGCCCTCACCACGCCCACTTACTGCCATAAATAGTCAATGCAACGTGCCTTGTGGATCTCATGCATATACATAAGCCGGCTGTTGCAGCGCTCCGCCAATGACATGGCGACCGTAGATCAAGGCAGATCAAGGAAGCAAAATTTCACAAAGCAGAAATTGAGGTACCTGTGGGTGAGGTGGAGAAATGAAAGGAAGTGCTTTTGCAAAACAAATAAGGGGAAATCCACCGAGTGGCACAGCGTTGCTGAAGCCATCAATGCTGTGAATTTTTCAGAGAGATCTGTGGTGGACATGTTTATGTTTATGTTTATGTGCTTAGCAGACGCTTTTACCCAAAGCGACTTACAATTATTTTTTTTAACCTATAGGGCATGTTGTGATCTGTGGGGGAAACCGGAGTACCCGGAGGAAACCCACGCATGCATGGGGAGAACACGCAACTCCACGCAGAAAGGCCGCAGCCGAGTTTCGAACCTGCGACCTTCGTGTTGCGAGGCAACAGTGCTAACCACTGCGCCACCATGCAGCCCACTGAAATAAATGGGCCAATCGGGATTCAATCCCCAGACTCCCGGGTGTAAGTCACACGCGCTAACCAGTCAGCCAAACAGAGATCTCCCCTTTATAACTAGCCAAGGCGCATGATCTATCAGGTCACAGTGACAGGACACACACACTGTCACAGACGCATGACATTCTGTCTCAATCTGTCCCCCTGCTGGTATTCTGCATTCCATGTTCTGTGTGTCAAGCTGTGTGTGTGTGTGTGTGTGTGTGTGTGTGTGTGTGTGTGTGTGTGTGTGTGTGTGTGTGTGTGTGTGTGTGTGTGTGTGTGTGTGTGTGTGTGTGTGCGTGCGTGTCTGCATGTGGGGGGTCTTGTTCTGTGTGAAAACGAAGCAGTACAAGTGATAATGCTGCAGGATTTCATAATTTTATCCTTCTCAGCAACAGCATTGCAGGTGCTCTCCATGTCCAACACGTGTGTAAGCCAGGTCCTTAGTCAACTTAAAGTTGCGCATATTTTTCTGCTACGTTTTCTTTCATAAATCCCAAAGTTTGAGTGGAAAGTTGCTGACGCAGTTTTCCGACCCCGTTTTGTGTGTAAGCAAGCTTGATAAATGATTAAAAAAATGTTTTTCAATTAACTTCCTTATGCTAAAGAAACCTTGCGTGTACCATGGTGCAGTAGTTAGTTCTGTTGGATTGCAACAAGAAGGTGCTTGGTTCAAACCCTGGCCTGGGGTCTTTCTGCATGTAGTTTGCATCCCTGTGCATGCGTGGGTTCTCCCTGAGTACTCTGGCTTCCTCCCACAGTCCAAACATCTCACTGTCATGTTGATTGGTCTGTCTAAATGCTTTGTAGGTGTGTGTGTAGTTGGTTAATTGTCTTGCATGCCTTTGGGTTGCCCTGCGATTGACTGGCATTCTGTCCAGGGTGTACTCTGCCTGTTTGCTCCAAAATTGCTGGAGATGGGCACCAGCCCCCCGTGACCCTGCATGAACAAGCTGGTGTAGAAATGGGATGGATGGATGTTTGTCTTGACAAGTTTACATTGTTCAGTCTGGATGTCATGAAAGCATGAATGACCAATTCCACATGAGGTCTTCAGAGAATTTGTTTAAGAAGTGAGGAGTGGCAAAGCTGAAAGAAGCATGACAAGACAGTGGTTTTTACTTGAAGTGACAGAGAGGTCTGAGTCCAGTTTGACCCCCAGGCTGGTAATCCAGTGGGGTGTGAAAGTTTAGAACCAGGTTTTGATTCCCACCCCTACTATTAACGCAACACATGGTGCCCTCAGATACTGTTGGCAGCCAGATGGGACCAGAGAAAATATGGGGGTGGCACACCAGACTGGTGCGTGTGGTAACTCTAGGAATGTCTAGCCCATGGTGATGAATTGCATGCTCCTTCATTCTTTTCCTTAAAAAACAAACAAACAATATGCATCCAACATACTTATCTTAGATTTGGAGAACACTATTTTTTTTAGTAGAAATACGTTTCAACTAGTTATTTGGAATGTTATTTTCAAATTTATTTTAGAATTTAAAAAAATCCTCAAAACTATAGATTTAAACGTTTGTTTTGAAAATGGTGAGCATGAGAAACAGACACACTTAAAAAAATCTGATTATTTATTTACTCTTTAATCATGTGGATTTTGGGGGATTTACATTTATGTAAATTAATTAAAAATAAAATTATTAAAAAGTTGATTGAATATACATGAATGTATGTGTGTGTGTATATATATATATATATATATATATATATATATATATATACTTTTTTTTCTTTAAACTCATTTAAGTTGGAAACTTCTTCACCCAGTAGCACTGAGAACCAACTTCCAGTATGTTTTGTAGGGCAACAATTACATTTCACATGGGAATTGTTAAACTACTTTTCAAACTTCTGTAAAAGTACCAAACTAAAATCATATAACTGTTTGTGTCAGAACTCTCCTGAGTAGAAAACGTAAGATGATGTAAAGCGGATCTCCAATAAAGACTCTCTCTTTTAGCTCCGGGTGTGGCGTGTAAACTCAAACGTAGAACAATCTTGTGTTGTTGGTAGGTGGGATGGAAAACAGAACTCCTCCTTTTTATTTTAACCTCACCATGTTTGTGAACATCAGACACTATCGCTTGGTGGCCTTTACGTTTTGTGTGCTGCTGTACAGCTTTATCGTCTCTGCCAACCTGCTCCTGATCCTGGTGATAACACAGCACAGAGCGCTGCACCAGCCCATGTACATGTTCATCGCTCTGCTGTCTCTCAACTCCCTGTATGGCTCTACTGGTTTCTTCCCCAGATTCCTCATGGACCTGCTGGCTGATGTTCATTTGATTTCATATCCTGCTTGTTTCACTCAGATTTATATCATTTACACGTATGCTGTCAATGAACTGACCATACTCAGCGTCATGGCTTATGATCGACACGTGGCTGTTTGCCATCCTCTACACTATTACAGAAAAATCACTCCTAAAGCGGTGGTGGTTTTGTCAACGCTGGCCTGGATTTTTCCAGCTTTGGTCGTTTCTGCAGTCATTTCCCTGTCTGCTCAGCTTCCTTTATGTGGCAACGAGATACAGAAAGTCTTCTGTGCCAACTGGAATGTGGTTAAATTATCATGCGTTAGCACTAACGTTAATAATATTTTAGGCATTTTTATAATCATAACTACAGTTTCCCTTCCTATTTTTTTCTTATACACCTACCTACGAATTTTTCTTGTATGCTGGAGGAAATCAGCAGAGTTCAAAGGTAAAGTGCTGCAGACGTGCCTTCCACACCTCGTGTCCTTTGTTGTTTATCTCATCACGAGCATTTGTGATTTTGCGTTGAGTCGTTCCAGGCTGGGAGACCTAAATTCCTTTGCTGCTGTGATTTTATCTCTGGAGTTTGTTGTAATTCCTCCTGTTTTAAATCCTCTTATATACGGACTTAATCTTCCAGATATCAGAAGACGCATTTTTGGGTTGTTACAGGGGAACAAAAGATGATCTTTTCAGACAAAACAAACACACAAAATTCATGTTGTTGATTTGATTTCCGGAATCATAAATATTGTGAATACTCAAATGCGAGAAAGTAATGAAATACAAAACATTTAACATCCTCATGATTAAAAAAAAGCTTTTTCGTCCTCATCTGAATTGTTAACATTTTGTTTAGTTTGGAAAACATCTTACTGACCTTGTCTGCAGAAGGTCAACAGAATCTGTTTTGAGTTAGGATTTTTATTATCCTTACTTGTATGATGACAATAAATTATGGTTTATCTATACATAATGAATTGCAGCAATGTCTAATGTCCTACATGTTAAACATTTCTTACCACGACTGTTCATTCAAAAGAAAATTTTTGCAAATAATGATTACTTTTTGTCAGATAGACTGTATTCATCTGTCCCTCCTTGGGCAAAGCCTTGACAATATTTAATTTGATCATTTATTGTATATTTATTTTTAATCACAAGTCCATAGTGATTTACCAATTATTTAAAAAAATTTAGTTTTCTTTATATAGTCACACCTATTCAACTTGATACTGCTGTAACGTCTATTTACCAATATGCAGAAGAGTAAATAAAATGGTACATGGCCTGTATTTGATAGAGCGCCTTCTAGAGTCCCGGAACCTCCCAAGGCATTTTACAACACGTCATTCAGACGTTGGTGGGGATGAGCTACGATGAAGCCACAGCTCCCCTGGCGCACACTGACAGAGATGAGGCTGCCGAGCGCTAGCGCCACCGGTCCCTCCGACTGCCACCAGCAGGCAAGGGGGGTTAAGTGTCTTGCCCAAGGACACGATGACTGTGACAAACTGAGCGGGGCTCAAACCTGCAACCTACCAATTATAGGGCAAGCACTAAACTCCTGTGCCACCATCACCCCAGAACATTTATCAAGTCAAATACACTTAAATATAGAGGGCCTTCTTTTTGCAATAGCCCCAGCTCTTCATTCCAGATCTGTCTGTTCTTTAAAAAAAAAAATTAAATGTTAATTTCAAACAGGTTGTGATGTGTAGAGCTGTGTATCTGACTTGTCTGTTCCTTCTGCTTACGTCAAACAGGGTTGGCTTCATAAGACCTTACGGTCTTCTGAACTTCTCATGCATCGTTTTTTTTTTATTGTGAATGAGTCAGAAGCTGCAACATCAGTCATGGAGGTCACTCAGAATATTTTTCATTGAAAATATTGTTTTTTTTATTTTTGCTGTTTTTTTTTTTTGCTTTATTTAAACAAAAAAAAAACTGAACAAGAACCAGGAAAACAAGACACAGAAGCCATAATGAAAACAGGAGTGATTACAGGAGGATCTGATAACAAATTAATTCAACATTGCACTTTAATAGGTACATTTTTTCATATTTTCATATCTTATTCTTGAGCCAGTAGGTACTAAAATGACTGTGCTGTTAATGTTGAGGCAGATGTAAATTTAGCACCCCCAAGAGGTGGGACATGGAATGACCTCACAGGAAGTAGGAAGTTTATGGATATTTACACAAGGTTTGACGGCTGACAGCAATCCACTCGCATCTGCTTCAAACCTTCGTCTTTCAAGTTATCATCTGTGTGTAGATTCTTTATATTTACTTCTCTCTAGTTCTATGATAACATTTTGTAACGTCAAGGAAGTTTATTCTGTAACTTTTATAACTTGTTGGAGCCACATGCTTTGAGTTAAGTCGTTGATATCCTTGTTTCTAAAATGGGAAATATTTACTTTCTAGGTTATGTTTATACTGCAGACACAGTGTAAGAAAGATTACAAAACATGTAATTGTATTTGTGTTATATTTTTATTTCAGTTTCACACTTTCTACATTATTAAACCTGTGGAGAAAAAGCAATGCTCTTCAGAGTCTTAATGAAGGAAAGGTGTTGAACCTTGCTGCCAGTTCCTCTCCTGCACCACGAAGAGGAACAGACAGTACAGTGAAAAGACGTCAAGTTACAGACAAGGTAACTTCATGCATGTGACTACAGTGACCATCAACACACTACAGAGTATTTACCTTTCTGCAATATGGAGTCAAAGTCAGCTTCAATGAAGACAAGGTCTTAGGCTTCTAAAGCCAGATTTATGCTTCTCCGTCTGCGTCAGTGCGGAGACACGCAACGCCATTATCTGTCCTTGCGTAGGGCTCCGGCAGGCACGCAAGTACGTACGGAGTCGAGCCCACTTTTTTAAACATCCGTCGAACGAGACGGATTACGCAAGCTTGTGATTGGTCAGGACGCCGCTGTTGTTTACAGCGCCGCCGCCATTGCAAAGAGAGCCAAGGATAACTAGCGGCAGACATGGAGAAACTTGAAGAATACCTCGCGAAAAAAAAACTCTAAAAATATGAACGTTTAATTCTCCCGTGACTGGAGGAGTGAAAAGATGCGCAGCAAGCATTTTATTTGTGGACGGAATGACAGGAAACGTGGGTTTAGAGGTGGGGAGCGCATGAAGAGAATGAGAGACAAATATGTCCGTGTTAAAAGTCTCTTATATACACAAAAAACACAATATAAACACACTAACTTGGACCAATACATGACAGGATACCACAGAACAGCGCTACGCCCTCTGTTGTCCTGCCGGGGAATTGCTTTGCAACACTCCCCAGGAGATGGAGAAGTGTGAGAGCAAAACGCTTCTGTCAATCCGTGCGTGTCTGTCCCTTGCGGAGCTGACGGAGAAGCATAAACCAGGCTTTAGTCTTGCACTCATTCAGGTGGGTCAGCTACTAGTACTGCAGCTGCAAGAGCTAATGCAGAGGCAGCAAAAGCAAGTTTTGAATTTGCAGATAGAGAAATGAAGTTGAAAATGGAAAAGGCTCGTCTGGAGGCTTCTATGGAAAGACTGTCCATTGAAAAAGAAGTGGCTGCAGCTGTTGCAAAGGCAGAAGCTTTAGAAGCAGTTGTGGGAGCTAGTGAAGGAAAACCCAGTTGCAAGATTTCCCTCATCTCATCAGTAGTCGGCAGTGCTGAGCGTCCAAGAGTATGTTGAGAAACAGGCTACACTTTCAGAAGACATAAAGACGGAGCCACGGTATGTGTCACGCTTACAGACACAGCAGACACCAAGTGCTTTACCTTTACATGACAGAGTGTACGAGCCACATCTCAACTCACTAGAAGAAGATTCTACTAATGCTACACAGTCAAAAAGCCTTAACCCATTTGTTACAATGGATAACAATGCAACCTCAGCTCAACAGATAAAGCACCAAAGCAGAGCAACTACAGAAAATGACTATGAAGATTTGCCAGTGCCTTCACAAAGGTTCACGGCACATCAGCGATCTTGTGAGTCCAACAACGCTTTTGAAGCTTGCCCCTCACCCCAACATGGCAACTCACAACAGCCCACTTGCTCAACCGATTTGCAAACGACAGATTTTGTGAGATTTCTGGCATGACATGAGCTTGTTACTACTGGTCTAATGTTTCATTCCTTTCGTGTAAGAGAAGAGGATCACTACTTTCTACGGTTCTTTTGGTTCAGAGACAACAATCCAACACAGGACATCACTGAGTACCGCATAACGGTACATGTGTTTTGAAACAGCCCCAGTCCAGCAGTTGCTATTTACTGCTTGAGACAATCTGTGATGGACAAACCAAATCATGACCCAGAGGTAAAGCAGTTTGTAAATCGTGGCTTCTATGTAGATGATGCGCTTAAGTCCTTTTCAACTGTAGGAAGCGCAATCTATGTGCTAAAAAACACAGGATGTTCTAGCAAACTCTAACCCGAGGCTCCACAAAATTGCCTCAAACAACAAAGAGGTTATGGAAGCCTTTGCGTCTGAAGACGGTGCAAGTGACTTACAGTATTTGGATCTGAGCTCAGACATTCTACCTGAACAACGCAGCCTGGGACTAAATTGGAACGTGGAGTCTGACACATTTGTTTTCAAAGTGGATCAAGAGGAGAAGCCTTTCACTCGTCTGGGTGTTTTATCAGTGGTGAACAGCGTGTACGACCCCCTAGGATTTGTGGCTCCCATAACCACCCAAGGAAAGTACATTCTATGGGAACTGACACAACACAGATTTTACTGGGATTCTCATCTTCCCGACCCAATGGAGGAACAATGGAACACCTGGACGGATTCACTGAAAGACCTAAGTCACCTGAAGATCCCAAGACCCTAAGCCATAAGTTCTCCTTCAACAGCAAAGACAAGAGAACTACACATTTTTTCTGATGCGTCAACCAAAGCTATTGCTGCCGTTACCTATCTCAAGTTGGTTGATGTAACAGGAAACATCCAAACTGGCTTTGTCATGGGGAAGGCAAGACTGGCACCCAGACCTGAACACACAGTTCCCAGACTTGAACTCTGCGCAGCTGTGTTGGCTGTAGAGTTGGCAGATTTTGTATCTTCTGAGCTTGACATGCACATGGACACCATCACTTTCTATACTGATAGCTAGGTGGTGCTTGTGTACATAAATAACAAGACAAGACGTTTTTATGTATATATTCATAACCATGTTGTACGCATACAGAGATCCTCTCATCCTGAGCAGTGGAAGTACATTTCTACGGAGGAGAATCCAGCAGACACTGCAACATGATCTGTACCAGCTGCCTTTCTGTCAGACACTTCTTGGCTCAAGGGGCCTCTTTTTTTTTTGTCTCAGCCTGTGCCGGAATCTTCACAACCAGAGTCTTTTGAGCTTGTTGATCCAATGAAAGATGTTGAGGTCCGCCGACAAGTCTGCTCTGCAGACACAGGCTTCTCTTGTTCTGCTTGGGTCTCACCGTTTCTCAAATTTTTCCAACTGGAAAGCTTTGCAACAAACTATTGCTAATCTCCTTCATGTTGTACACAGCTTCCATAACCATGAAGTTGTAAAAAGCAAGCTGTGTAAAGGGTGGCACTTATGTCAGGAGGCGGGCACACCTGCCCAACTCGGTCTATCAGAGCACATTATTTTACAGACTGTGCAGAAAGAGGCATATGCTGAGGAGTTTTCCTGTCTCAAC